CCAGAGTTCTCAGAATAAACTCTGACGATGCTTCTCGTATGAAAACAATGCGTTTCTATGTAAATGAAAATAATGAATGATCTCATGTTTGGATGGCGCTCTCACTGTCCTCTTAGCCAAACTGGAGGTGTCGTTTGTACAAAAGCGTAGGCGGCATCTGTGCGTGGCTTCGAATCACACTGAGGCTGCCAATTTTTCGCAAAATCCAAACATACATCTATTGTCTCCTCCTATTCCTCAGGTCAACAAAATTCGTTCAAATAGCAAAAGGGCTACATGAAGGCAGTTTATTAGTGGTCCGATAGCACGCGTTTGAAAATTTCTATCCGCGGTGTAATACGCATCGGAAAAAACAGCGGAAGTCGGAGTGTCTGAAATGATTAGAACGAAAAGGTAATAGACCGTTTCCCATGAGCTATGAAAGATCATGAAGAATTTCACGGGAAAACTTCCAACGGTTCGTAGGGCGACACGATAAAATTGTTTATTGGAATTTCGGAAGCAATGTGATCAGTAGATATATAGCTCTAAAGTGTGTTTTCTTTTCAAAGCAACCAGAGATGCTAGAGTGAAACAGAAAGAAAGAATACGCAGAGTCAAACTGCACACGAGCATCAAGCCTGAATCGAATGTTTGCATATGAGGAGCTTTATTTTTTGAAATAAATGGTTTTTTATTTGATTTCATTAGATTAGTGGAGGATTTGATCTGATTATACAGAATGATGAGACCGAACCTGGGGACAACAGCTGTACACAACTGTTACGTNTTCGTCCATCCGTTAATATTGATCGTCCAATCATGAGAAACAGGTGTTCATGACAGATATTGACCAATACCGTTTCTGGCTCTTCTTGTCCGTCAAACAGCTTGAACAAGTTTTAGGCGATTATTGATTGATTAATTCTGACAAAATCATTAAATCGTTCACCCGGTTTCAAACAACAAGCTGTCTTGTGTTTTCTAATATTTGATGTTGATTTACAGCCCCCTAATAATACGGTACAGAAAGCCCAGAGGAAGCTACAGTAATGCTGGATGAACTTAAAAGATTACATCCAAATATTCAGTTCACAATAAAATCCTTGGATTTCCTTGACATTAGCATGAGGCCAAAAGAGGAAATGGAACAATCACCCGATCCGTATACCGAAAGGAGAACTGGACAGGCCAATATTTACACTTCAAGAGTTTTGCTCTCCTGGAGTATAAACGTGTTCCTATTCGGACGTTATACGACAGAACGAGACGGATCTACACGGAAGATAGCATTGAACAACAACTACAAAACCTTCAGCAGATGTTAGCAGAAAACGCTTAGTAAACATAGCAAGCCAAGAATTGCAGAAGAAACGGTTGCTACAGCTCTCAAATTACGAGTCACTTTGTGCCTCCCATTCAAAGGCACTGACGTAACCTGTTTGATCAAAAAACGACAGATCGGCAGTTTCTTGTACCTACTATGCAGCTGGCCCCCAAACCGTCTATCGGACAACCAGAATACCCACCCCGGTACGGCAACTCTGATCTAATCTACCAATTCCAGTGTGGGGGCGGAGCAACCTACATGGGCAGAACAGAGCGACGGTTACGTGACCGGGTGGGTGAACCCATTCAGAATTGGCTCAAAAGTCAGATGACTTGATCAGGATCAAGTCCGTGTCATAGAAATAACGGTTGAAACTAAAAGACCCCGTCTTCATTCATAGCTCGACATCTGTTCGACGCAACACCAGATAGACCGAAGCAAAATTGCTAAGATTTTCAGAAGCACTTGCTTCCAGCCGATGTGTCAACAAAAAAGAACTTTACGCTAGTTTGTCCTTACCCTGGTGACGTAGTCCTTTCACCCCTCGCCCCCCCCGTTATGTTTGTCTGTTTCATTGTACTTTACTTTTATTTGTTGCCATGCTCTATCCATATACAAATATTGTGTTTTCTGCCGTATGCACTATGTTGAGATACAGCAAAGCTGTCCTGGGCATAAATTGTGTAGTATTGCAATTTGGTCTTTTCTTTTGAAGTATTATGCATTGCAATTGAGTTTGGAATCCGGTCTTAACAATCAGTTTCTATCTTTTCAGTTTCTACCTTATTTGCTCCGCATCGGACGAGGTTCACCACAGTATCAGAACAAATCCTCCACTACCCTCATACAGCCAGCGGCCAGGTTCGGAAGATTCCCAACCAAATCATAACCCTTAAGGCTAATACTGAACCGTTCGAGGTGTGACGAGCTGTCCTCCATCGTGTATGGGCAAAATGAAATAGAGTTTGATCATCTGCCTGCCCGATGTTCAAATGGATTAGAGATGGTTGTGTTCTACCGATGAGGTCCCGGGTTCGATCCTCAAATGGATCGATGGATTCCCGTCAACATGGTTGCTCACCGCCTTCCAGCTTGTCATTTCACGTTTCATTTCATTTCCGGTCACAAAATCACCGGTCTATTCATGACCCATCTATCCACGTCTCCGGAACTCTTGGGAACTGTGCAATCCAATGAAGAGTATGAATATTAACGCTGAGATGCCAGTCCTTCATCTCTATACCTTGTCAAACAGTCGTCCACCGATTGGGCAGTCGATTAGGTCTATAAAACGTTCAAACGTGCTCCAAAATAACGGGAAGCACTGCGTGAGACGACGTAGAGTGGAGAAGTTAAACAGTTCGGAGCGATCAACTCCGAAAGACTATCATTTTCATATACATCATCAGTGGAAAAAAATTTAAAAAACATCATCTCTCCCGTTTTCTCGCTCTATATCGTGAATTAAATTTCCCTCCGCCCCCCCCCGCACAACAGATAGATGAGAATGTGACCCTTATTATTCGGCATGGGATTGGTGGACATAATCCGGTCAGTAGAGCCCTCACACAACCGGGACAGTACAACGAATTGGCTCGAGGCACTACCATGCTAATTCTGATGGAAATGACTGGTCTCTGGCCACTGATATCATACAAATTATCATTTAAAACGAGTAAGTCACACATTTTGAATGAGTACATGACTGTTTATCTTTTTTTATCCTAGTTCTTTTGAACGGCTATTTCTTTGAATGAAACAAAATGATTTAAACGTTTAAACGTTTCGCTCAATTGATAATCAGTTTTCCTAAATCATTCTTAATATGAATATTAACGTGATAATGGTCGATAGAATTGTTTTATTCTTTGTGATTCAAGGTTTGGTTTTCGGGCTTAATGTTCAGAAAAATAACGCAGTTCACCTGATCGAATGCAACCAAGAAGCGACGCGGACTCAAAGGTCATGTTGATGCAAGAGATCGTCAACAGTGCGCACTGTTCGATCCACGCAGATTGGAAGACTGTGACCCCTGGCATCAGAAAACCGGTGTTTTTGCTACAGTAATGATCAGATCGTATCCGCACGGACAAGGATACTGGGAATCCCAATGTTATTGGTCTTCAGAGACAGCCAAATCGTTTTTATGCATCATAGGAAATAAACTTGCACATCTTTAACCCTTACCCTCATGACAGACATGATCCAGTCGAGTATTTTTTATTCCAGTTCACTTAGAGTTCATTGTTTCTGTCTTCGTTGCGTTTGGGCCAGACAAACTAACTGGCTCTCCATGAAGGTTACCTCTGTGTTAGCATGAATGGAAAATGCTGGTCAGCTCCGGTTTAAGTTGGTACTCATAGGTTCAATGCGAGAAGTTTGGTGTTCGAATCCGTGCCGATTCGGTTGATAGTTACTATTGATGAATCCTAACAACAGTGACATTTCAGCCTGGTGCATCCAGAGTATCATGTTGACTGATGAAATGGAGAGTGATACATGAAGATGAAACCTGGGGAATGTTCAGTGCAAATAAACATTACTTGATCCACATCATTAACCGAAAGTAAATGTAAGTTAAATACCAAGTCTAGTTTTTGTAGACCTCATTTGAGAATCAGCAATTTTAAAAATTTTCATTTTTGCCGTCCGAGTGAGCACTCCTCTTTTCCGTATATTGTGAGCGCAAATTGCAGACTCTAGCCTGACTGCTGTTAATTGACTGCGCTCAATTCACCATTTGATAAAGACGATCTAGATGAGTGACAAGCTGTCCGCGTCGACCAATCCAAGTACATAAACAGGCCCTCACCTCCCTATTGACTAGCTTCTTTTATGGCATAATGGATCACGGCGGGAGAAGTGATCATTTAGTAGACTTTGAACGCATGGAGCTTTTGTATTTCTATTGTTTTCTTTGTTTATTTCCAGCATATAAGGATTATTGGAATGGGGTCACCGATTGTTGTTACATTTTACAATCAATATAGATGCTTTCTTTGTTTAAATTTGGGCCGACGGATTCGCACACTGTTGACGATACCCAAACAGATCGAAACAGCTGTCTCCAGCTTTCTAGCTTTTCATCTCATTCTTCAATGACACGAATAATTCATCATTTAATAATAAATATCTGTGATTAACAACCAATTTATCAATATGCTAACCTGGGGTTATTGTTAATAATAGATTACAGAGCTCAAGCCCGACCTCCCCCACATACCGGTTATTCATGTTGAATGTATCTCATTAATCATAACTTCAGGCAAAATTATTTTCCCCAGTAAATGAGGAGTGAGCTGAAAAGCTGGGTAGCACTGGACAGCTGCTTCGACCTAATCGGGTCTAATCAGCAGTGCATCAAACCAGCCTGGGATCGAACCCGGGATCGCTCAGGCAGGGCGAAAGCCTACTACCCACTCAGCCACTGGATAGCTGATGAAATGGTTTCTCATTTGAAATATTCACAACACCGCACAACTCATCTTTGCGAGCTCGTTCCTGGCCACGGACGTTACTCATCTCAACACGAGCCTCCAGGGTTATGACTCGGTGCTTCCCAGCTTTTCAGCTCGCGCGTCATTTACACGACGAATTCATCGTTTATTCTGATAAAATCCTTCATTCCTATCATATAAAGTTACCTCTCCTTACCTCAGATGTTGCATGCTGTCAATAATAGAATATTTTTCGTCAATCATAAATGACGGTGCTCAAAGTACAGGTCCCGCGGAGCTGGTTGGTCATCAGTACAACGTTAAAGTTATGAGGCACTCTCTCCTGCTGACATCGCAGTGGATTGTAATGGTTGAATGGCTTCTGACAACTGGCAGTGGGGAAGTTGCACTGCGGACTTTGTTCAGTTTGTCCACGAAACGTCTTGAAACAACGTTTCCAACTTATAGACTCATCTAGAATCCATATCTGCATACCGAGCTACAGGCAATCAACATTAAGTGGAACACTGAGTCCACCTCGGGGAAGTGAGTTCATTCGGACTGAACGCGGTTTAGACGGATCCGGTCCAATGGGTGACATTTGACGGCCGAAACACCAATAATCTTGTGGGGTTTCCAATATAGTGCGATTAGTTGGATTCACTTGAAGTCACAACGGATTCACTTGAAGTTGAAAAGTTATAGATCATCAATACAGAGAGAAGACAACAGTCATGAGATGTTACCATTTCGTTTAATCTCCTAAATCACTGGCGTAGAACATACAGGAAAATATATAGCAGATGGATTCAAGTGAATCAACGTGTACCAGTATGCAAAGATTGATAGAGATAGAAGCAAAAGGTGAACTCCGTGGTAAGTGGATTGATTGTAGCAAAACCATTGCGCACAAAGTCCGGTGATGTAATCCAATACCCAACGTTATACTAATTACAAATCGTTGAGCATTGCGATTAAATGATGGGGGTCTGAAAGACGAATTGGATTACATTGTGTTTATTATTATCATGATGTGTTTTACAACAGATGTACCATAGTCTCGTGTGATCGACGGACCCTCGGTTATTAGTTGCATCATCGATTTCCTTAAGCAGTTTGGAATGCGTTCGGCTGGTTTTAGCCTTGGTCGAACTTGTATCGACCACATCTACACTCTTCGCCTAAAGTGCCTGGTTTATGGTTGCACAAACTTAACTGTGTTCCGCTATCCGATGTAGTAGCTGATGGTTTGTTCTACTTAGGCGTCACCGCAACTTTAACTCAGCTTATATATATTTTTTGAGACAGAACCGGTTTGCTAGGCACGATAACCTTTTTCC